TCAAGCATAATCTTATTGCCAAATGTATGTTACGTAGATCTCTTTGTCGGTTTGGCAATCACGAGTCAGCGAGGGATTAAAAGCCAAGAGGGACCAACGAGGACAGGAGAGATGGCCGACGAATCGGCTCTCGATGGAAACGCGATGAATCGAAGTGGAAAGAAGGGGTGGGAGACGAGCGAGAAAAATCGGTGGCGGGCGCGAGAGCAAAAAGCAAAGAAACAGAGAGAAAGAAAGGAAAAGGAGAGGCGAGACTCGAGGAAAGGAAGAAAGGAGCACTCGACACGACGCGACGCGACGCGACGACTGTTTCGGTACCGAGAGGCAGAAAGTCGGCCCGGAGGGTTACTGCTAAACAGGCAATTACGAGACTCCTCGGTGGAAGACGCTCGTAAAAATTAAAGCGGCGGAGGAACGAGAGGCGGAGGTCTTTGAGGGAGGGAAAAGGCGCGAGATGAGAACGAAACGGAAGAGCGATGAGAAGACGAAAGTCGAGAACGAGAAACGAGGGGGGAAAGGAGAAGCGTGGAGTGGCGTGGAAAAAAGAAAAAAAGAAAAGAAGAGAAGAGAGTGGTGTGGAGAGGCAGCGAGAGAGCAAAGACGAGACCGGCCGATCGAGCCTTCTCGGAGATGCTCGCCCGAGGCGGCGTGTCATCGGTTTGCTCTTCTCTCGTTCGATCGAACCGTGCCGAATTCACGGACCTCGCGACCTGCGAGTCGAAATCGGCCTTCGGTTCACTTCGAACCTTCGGCTCCTCGATTCATCAACGATACACCCGGCGTTCCTTTTCATTTTCCGTCAAGATCTAGAATGTCAACCGTTTCAGTGCTGGCCTTTTTTCACCATATAATATACGAAAACTACCGAGCAACAGCAACGATAAAAGCGGATGCCTATTTACGCGCGTGGTTTAGATTTAATTGAGAAAAAAGTCAGCTTTAACCTCTTGCGCTGGACCGTCGAGAACATTTTGCCCCAAAATTGCAACATTTAAGTATAACCCAGACCAAAACAGATAATAAATTTATTGCTTCTCGATCGTTTCGATCCAGCGATCGCCGATATCCGACGAGTTCAAAGGAGAAAGAAAGCGATCGAATTACTGCGTACGGTTCTGGTCACTCGTTACGGTCCGCAATCCAGTTGTGCCAATGCAAGTGGTTAATCGAAACTACACAGCGCGGCTTAATTGTAAATTTCGTCGCATAGCGGCCAAATACGCGAAATCCGAACAGCGTCGAGAGAGATTCTCCGCTGCGGCTCGCGGCGAACCCGTCCGCGTTTAAACCACGGTCGAAGAAAGTTTCCGGGGTAACGCCCGCTCGATATTCCGCCGCGGAGCCGATAGGTATAGATAATCCAGCGACGTAGCCGGACTTTAAGAGACACGGGTCTCCCTTTCAGTCGGGCGAGACAGAACGAGAGAAAAAGAGAGAGGATAGATACGGAGGTTGGACCGAGGGTGGACGACCAAGGGTGGATTGATCCGTGGTCATCGTGGCGGCTCTCTCGATACATCCCCTCCTCTCCAGCTGCCCTCGTCCCTCGTTCGTGCTCCCTCTTTCCCCTTTGCTCATTTTCCTTCGGCACCCTCGGTTTTCACGACCCTCTCCTCCTCTCCTCTCCTCTCCTCTCCAGCTCGCCTCGTTTCCTTCGACTCCCCGGGAGGCGAACGTCTCCGAGGCCGGGCATACGTATATATATATATATATATATATACATACGTAGGTATGTCGGTTAGAAGCACTCGTCGTTCGGTTCGTGTTACACCACCGGTCCACCCACTTCATTACAACCGCCCGAGGAGAACGACAATGACAACGCGGATGCTACACCACCGCTACCGCCGTTTCTCTCTACGACCACCGTCGGAAACTTTCCCTTCGGCTGCGCCCTTAAGTGAAATCCTGGCATCAATCTTGCTAACGACCTGGGATTAACGCTAATTTGTCGACCGCGCGATATTGCCGAATCGCCGAGATATCTCTGTCGGTTCTCCCTCGTCCCGTCTCTTTTCTCCATCCGTTCCTTTCCTTTCTCTCTCTCTCTCTCTCTTTCTCTCTCTTTCTCATTTGTTATCATCTTGCTTCGTACGGTATTCTTGATTATCCGCCGCGATCAAGAAGTTTCATTTCTCGATCGAGTGCGACCAAAGCCTTATCAAAAGGACAAAAATGACATCGTTAACAAGTTTGGTTACTACGATAAAGTATACCAAGTGTGCACACATTGATCGAATCATTTTCCTGCGTCTGTTAATCCAGTTTAATTTTCTGGTAATAGTTTGACAATGGCCTGAAACGTTCTTTCTAAACAAACGAAAATTTAAACTCGTAATTATCTCACGCCTAAGAACCGGCCATACCAACGGCTGACACATGAACACAAAGTCAAAAATACTTCACCACCCACCTGCACTCATTGCAATAACCATCCACTAATAATAACCCACATACTGCACGAATGCCACACCACAGAAATACGGAATCAATGCAAACATAAACCTGACTTCTGAAAATGACATACAAAGAGTACTAAAATACTTCAAAAACATAAACTACTACACTCATATCTAATGGCACCGTCGTCGCTAATGACCTCGCTGTCGATGCGACATTAAAAAAAAAAAAAAAAAAAAATAGAAGAAGAAGAAGAAAAAAAAGAAAATCTAAGTTTTTAAGAGATTACAGTTACATCTATAGCCGGTCTTTTCCAAATTGTGATAGATCTTTTTGTTACAATAATTTTTTATTACATAAATTACATCGTCGAATGGAACATATGAACATCTAATTAAGAAGACTGAGCCTCTCTTTAGCAATAGTTGTCAAAAATCTGTCGCAGCTCAACACGTTTCCCATCCGAGGAGAACATTTTAATACTTGATGGACGCAAGATTGTACTATAAAATCAGTAAAATAAGTATCGTCGTTAATGACCTCGATGTCGATGCGATATTAAATCTGCGCAGAAAGGAGAAAAAGAGAAAGGAGAGAGGACGTTCGCCGTCTCGGTGAAAATTTCTGAATCCATCGCGAACACGTTTGGAAGGCTCCTCGAAGGCCGAGAGTTTCCTCTGGTATCTCGAGAAAGATCACGTCCGTGCGATGTGCTCGCGGTCGACGAGAGTGGCGGCCCGCATGCTCGACACCCGCTGGAAATGGTTCGTTTCGGTCACGGTGACACGTACCCCTGTGGAGAGCGCCACTCGAACCCTGCTGATGACGCGGATTACGACAACGTGAGCCCGAGTCGATGCTCACCTGGCTCTCTCGACGAAAGCGTCGTCGAGCGTTGCTTCTAACGTCACCCTCTCTCATCGAGAATCAAGCGTCGAATCAACCTCGCTCGAGAAGACAGAAAAAGAGAGAGAGAGAGAGAGAGAGAGAGAGAGAGAGAGAGAGAGAGAGAGAGACAAAGAAAACCATACGAAAAAACCGAGCGAGTCGCCAAGTAACCACGGATGACGTCGGATAGAATCGATTCGACAAAAAGACGTACGCAGCATCTACGTATGAAAGTTATTAAATATATTTAAGCACATTTCGGTATGTTAAGTATATTTAAATATTGTTAAATATACACAATACATATATTAAGTATATTTAAATATTGTTAAATATACACAATATATATATTAAGTATATTTAAATATCGTTAAATATTACTATATTACTATATTAATATATTAAGTACATTTTATTAATATTACTATATTACTATATAGTATATAGTAATATAGTAATATAGTAATATTACTATATTACTATATTAATAAAATATAGTTAATACATTAACTATACTTTATTAATATAACTATATTAAATATTACTACATTACTATATCAATACATTAACTATATTTCATTAGTATTACTATATTAAGTATGTTTAAATATTGTTAAATATACACAATATATATATTAAGTATATTTAAATATTGTTAAATATTACTATATTACTATATTAATATATTAAGTATATTTTATTATGTAATATTACTATATTACTATATTACTATAATATAGTAATATAGTAATATAGTAATATAGTTAATACATTAACTATATTTTATTAATATTACTATATTAAATATTACTATATTACTATATCAATACATTAACTATATTTTATTAGTATTACTATATTAAGTATGTTTAAATATTGTTAAATATACACAATATATATATATTAAGTATATTTAAATATTGTTAAATATTACTATATTACTCTATTAATATATTAACTATATTTTATTAATATTACTATATTAAATATTACTATATTACTGTATCAATACATTAACTATATTTTATTAGTATTACTATATTAAGTATGTTTAAATATTGTTAAGTATACACAATATATATATTTAATAACATTTAAATTATGCGTCCAATGAAAAATTGTTTGATACGAACAGTTACATGGTTTTAACCGCTTTCAACTGGCAACTGACTGCGGACCATAACGAGTGGCCGTGTACAATAATTCGTGGTCTTCCTTTCAAACTCGTCGGTACGACTATCACTCGATAGAAATTATTGAGTGGTAATAAATTTGTTATTTGTTTTGCTTCGGTTATACTTGACTGAAGAAATATTGCAATTTTGGGCCGCAAAAAAATTTGCACGTAAGAGGTTAAAGAAGGCAAAATATGACGTGTCAATTTCTCACGCGTGTGTCGAGAAGTCTCGAAATCTCCAAGGTCATCTTTATTTCCTTCAATCGAATCATATACGTATTTCTTTTCCATCGTAAATCGAAGGAATATCAAATTCCAAGTAAAAATTTGCATTAAGCTACACTGATATATACATATACATATCGATGTTAATGGAATCGTCTCTTACGTCGCTTCTCGCCTCTCGACGTTCTCGCGCGCTCTTCGCGACCGATAAAATTCCTCTCCACTCTCTCGTTCCCGGCCAGAGCTGTTTCCGAAACAGACAACAGAAACGGAGCATACGTACTCCGGTTCCGATATACCTGCGAGAGCGATGAATAGTCAAGACCCGTTAGGCGTTTCCACGCAAGAGATATCATTGATCGTGTATCGGTTTGTGACGCGTGACGCAGATAGCGACCACTAATATCGTCCACCACACTGCCTCCATCGTCTATCGTCCACCGCGGTTTCGTTCGTTGCGCGATTCGATTCGATTCGATTCGATTCGATCCGATTTCGATTTCGATTTCGACTCGACTCGACTCGACTCGACTCCTAGGCACGAGCACCAGGCGATTTCCTTTCTCTTTCGGTCTCTCTATCGGCACTCGGGATCGAGAGAAACGAACGTTTCCACCGAATGCACCGACCGTCGGGGCTCATTGTTGCGTAACAAGTTCGATTTCTGCCTCGGCTCGGACCTCTATTCTCCTTCGACCGTCTGATTTTCGATTTCCTAAGTGTTCGATCGATTGGTACTTGGAATTCTTCTCTCCCTCCCTTTTCTTTTTTTTTTTTTTTTTTTTTTTTGTTCTCCTCGTACAACTGCTTCTGAGCGAAAAGAGGATACTTGAAAAGTATCTCTCGTCGAAAGAGAAATTTTGCTCGAGCTGTCGAGCGACGAAGGAAATGAAAAGGTTCAAATGGCTGGCGGAATGAAAGAAGAACGATGCAAGAAGGAAATGAATTACCGCTGAACATGACGTAACCCGCTTGGAAAATCGGCGAAAACGGTTCGTGATATCGAGTTTAACGAACGAACGACTCGTGAATTGTAAAAAAAAAAAAAAAAAAAAAAAAAATCGAAGAGGGAAAATAAAAAAAAAAAAAAAAAAAAGAAACAATCGTAGAGTGAAAATGAAAAGAAAGAAAAAAAAAAAGGCGGTTAACGACAGAGAATCTAGGCTTGTGTTACGTCTGTGTGTTGGGTGTATTTTATAGTATCACGAGGCGCCGCCAAAGCTAGTGGACGCCTTGACCGCCGTGAACTTCGCCGTCACACTCCTTTTCCTCATTGAGTGCATCCTCAAACTCATCGCCTTCGGATACAAGGTATAGAAAAACCCTCTTAATCACTAACTCCACTAATATTAATCACACGCAATTATATTTATATAGTGTATAAATTCTACATTTTTTTTGAATTCTTTTCTTCTTTTTTTTTCCTCAATCTCTTTTTTCTTGTTCACTGTACTCAAGTTCAGATCACCCCGGACGCGTTACCGACATTTCGCGAAGAGAATTCAGTTGCGATAATTGATGAAAGTTGATCGCGTGCCGTGATTTGGAGATCGATCGAGAAAACGAGAAAAGCGGTACAAATGAAAGAGTTTGACTAGCGCGCCAGAAAAGAGCAGTTCAAGTGGTATGTACAATGTACAATGTACTGTGTATCGGAGGAGCGTTCGAAACGTTGAAATTTGATCAAGAGAACACTGTGTGACTCTCTCTCCCTCTCTCTCTCTCTCTCTCTCTCTCTCAAGATGCGGTGAAAAGTAGACGCTTTTCTGAACGTAAGATTCCCCCGTTGGATCGACGTAAGAGCGATCGAAATGTGTACCGATTAACTTCTCGAGCGGCTACTCGTGAAAATGGGGGGAGGGGGAAGCGAGTGTCAATAACTAAATAATAATTAATAAAATACTGCGAAGTGTATCTCATTCGTGATACTAACATGGCGAACGAACGAACGAACGAACGGAGGATAAAAATAGAGAAGGCCAAAAGTATTTATCTCGTCAACGAACGAGCAGGATATTTTCATTGGTTTGCCGTATAACGAGTTGCATCGTAATTTCCTCCCATTTTCCTGCTGTTTCTGCGCGTGAAAACACTTGGAAAAAAAGGAGATGGACGAAGGAACAGAGTTCGTCGGTATACCTTTGAGTCGCCCTGTATTTTAGAAGTAAAAGTTAGAAGTAAACTGTAAACTGGCGATAGTGCCGAGCAGCTGCAATAGAATTGAGATTTTTTACGTTGATCACTCTTTACTGGCTTGCATATATATATATATATATATATATATTTTTTGAAACCATTAGACGAAAGTGATCTCTTTCCCTGGCTCCTCCCGGAAAAAGGGTGTAAAGTGTAGAGCTTTTCCGCGACGAAACCGCGTCTCTATCTTTCTCTCTTTCTAGTTTGCTTGCTATTATACCTATTATTACGGCATGCTTCCGTCGTAGATATTACTTTAGAAGAGATCCCGTCACATATACTTCAACCGATCATCGATATATTCACCGAACCGTGCGATTCGGGTATCTCGTAATCGCCTAGAAACCCACTCAGCCAAGTTAAGTCTCTTTATCTTTCATACCAACACTCTAACTACGAGCGAGAAGAAATTGGAGAGATATCGGTAGATTGTTTCTTTTCGGTATTACAACTCTCAACACCGACGTGTTTGCAGCGTGATTGTTTCGACTTCTTTTATCAGTTACGTTTATTATCTATTCGTACTACACACAATATTTATTATTTTATGTTACACCGACTGCACTCGTGGACCATAGTTACGATAAACGTCTTTTCTCCCGATACGTCACAATTCGAACGCGGCACAATCAATCGAGCATTTCGATTTTGAACATTTATGTTAGCGAAGAAGTGCGTCATTAATACACACGTACGTACACACACGCACAAGCATACATACACAGCGAAGCATACACGCGAGGAAACGGCGAGGAACAAACTTACAAAAAGGTCGGATCTGCGAGAGCGGGACCGAGCTTCTTTCTTTCTTTTCCTCTTTCGAATCGAGTTTTGGTAGTTTCTTAGCGCTAGTATTTGCGAACCGAATTTACACACTCTCGAACTGCCTCCAAGTTTCTTTCGAACGTTCGTACTCGTTGATAGTTCTCCGGTTCGCGAGGAAAGAAAGAAAGCAGAAGAAAAAAGACGAGCGACGGGTTTTTGTGGTTGGATCGGTTGGAAGAAGCTTGGAAGCAACGATAGGCAAGTTCGATCGCGCGATCGTTTCTAATCGATTTCTTTTCTAATCCCTCGGCGAGCAGAATTTCTTCAAGGACGCCTGGAACCTGTTCGACTTCATCACAGTGATCGGCAGCATCGTGGATGCCCTAGTGATCGAGTTCGGGGTATGTAGAGCTTCGGCAAAGATCGCCTTCGTTTCAAACCGTTGAGTCGAGTAAATGTTCAGAGTGGCGTAGTTTTACAGAAAAGGAGAAGTAGAATATTCAGACGTTGAATTATTTATCTAACGATGAAACCCTCGATGACACCTCTGGCTCCCGTTTTTACTTAATTGTGTCTAAACCCAAAGTGTTTGCTTGACTGTACATTATTATCAAGTGTTGTCTTTCCTTTAACCCTTTTGCTGCTTCTTTAGTTTCAGCAGAGTGTACAAACATAACATGCTAGCAGGTAAAGTCGACGACTTTTATTCGAGTCCCTAAAATGTCATGTATTTGCGTAGCTTTATGCTGCATTCATACGCTACACACTCACGTTATCACACCTGTACGTTACACACAGCCACCACGACACACGTGTATATCCAGTTACACATGTACATTACAACCTCACGAAAGGGAATGCTTTCGAAGAGAAATGATTTGCAATAACAGAGAGATCGACAGCAAAGTGAAAGAATTTCCCTTCGAAGGATCTCTTTCTCGTTCACTCCGTATAGAAAAAAGAAAAAAACCGACATTCTTTCGAACAGTCAACATAAATACAGCACTACCCATCAAGTATTTCTTTACTCCTATGTAGTAGAAGTATATTTATTAAGACCCGAAGTAACATCGTGCTATACTTCCACATGCCGTAATTGTAATCCAGTAAAAGTGACAAATTTTTATATATATATATATATACACATATATTATACATAGTTGAGTATCGATGCCACGTCGAGACTGTCGAATCGAGATCTCCCTTAAATGCTTGCACTCCTAGTAGGTTTGCTGAATCGGCAGAAATTAACATGATCTTTTGGCTGAAACTTACTTTTAGAGATCAAGGTAAGCCAAGCCGCACCTTTTCTTCCATCAAGCTTCGCGTAAATGACAGTTGTTATAAAACTCTCATTGTCAGTCTCAGCCGCCGCCAGACTAAGCTTCGTTTACACGTGTATGTAAATCTCCGCTAGTTTTGTTACGTACTCGCATATTAAGAGATCAGTGTGCATATAACGACCGATCGATCCAATAATTTTGCAATGTCGTGTATTTTTGTACTAGGAGCGGTTTTCGAGTATGCCCAGTGGCGGTCAACTAGGCGAAAAAAAGGTATAAGTTCTGTCACAAGTTTACGCCCACAGATGTAAGTTGTCGCCGGTTATACATTTAAAAGAACATTGCGCCGATCACACGGAAATAATCGGATACACATATACAGGGTGTTTCGTAACTTGTGGCATCCACTTTGGGAGCTGATTGTACGCCTAAAAATAATGAAAAAAAAAGTCATATAAATATATGTCCTATCTGTCTTCGTTTATGAGATATACTGAATTTTCTGTTTTAATTACTTTTACAAAAGATACTTAAAAATGGCAACCTTGCATTTGAAGACAAGCCTGCACGCGTCTTGTCATTCATCTGGTTACTCTCTCTATCATTCCTGGTGTTTCTCGAATTTGTCGGAAGCCTTGCTCTATTCTATTTCGTAGTATTTCAGCATTTTCAATACAATAGATTTTAAATGTCCCCACAAATGAAAATCTAATGGATTGGATTCAAATCCGGAGAACGAGCAGGACCCAATCCATTTATTTGCAAAGTGTTGATTTAAAAATTGCCTAGCCACTCGGCTAAAATGCGGCGGAGCTTCATCATGCATAAACCGCATACGAATAATCTAATATCGACTGGAACTTCCTCTAATATTTCGTGTAAACGCGTGCTCGAAAA